CATTTGATGATTGTGTGTGTATGTGTTTGTGTTTTTTAACAAATAAGGACAGAACATACTCATTTTTTTATTGGTATAGAGAGAAAAAGTACACTCCCTAAGCGAAAATAGAACCAGTTACGCGCCTTGGGCAATCTATACTACATGTAGGACCATCTTAAGGTGGAGCTTTGGGCTTGCCATTGTCAATGTGTCCTCCTCTTTTAACTTTGCAAAGAGTCCAATGGTTGAGGATCTGTTGTAATCGAAGATTCTTTCATTTCTTTCTTTTCATATCACCTAGTAGATGATAGAGTATCAGCGAGCGAGCACATTTTCCCTTTTAGAGTGTCATGTCTGTTTGCAAGCATACATCTCCCATCATTTTGACACCGTGGTTGTTGGATTCCATTCACTTGGCAGTTGGCACAATTTGTTGGTAGGCAGCCTAGCTCGCTACTAGTCTCAATATCCTTCCGAAAAATCTGCACTAGACGAAGAGGTGGAAGGATGACTCATTTGTGGCACAGGAGAGTGAGCATAATGGAATTATTAGGATATCCTCTTGTTGCAAGTCTGTGTGCCGTTCATACTCTATTTTGTATCATTTGTGACGCGGAAGGATGACTCATTGGTGATTGTGTGAGTGTTGTGTATGTGTCAAATGTGTACATCCGATTGTATTTCTCCGGGAAAGAAACCATCTTCACATGACTTTGATTGTCAAACCGTGTGCTGTCTTATCAACAAGGCGTTTTATTTTAGGACAAATTTATTTTTCTCACACACCGAAACCTTGTTTAATTTGTTGTGAACCTTGTTTTATTTGGCACTTTCTCTTTCATAATACTACTATTCCATTGGTGTTTAACTTTTTCTTTCCTTCGCTGTCAACGACCATCTTATTTGTCCCTAAAAGACCAATGTGCCCTTATGAAGCTAAAAATTATATAAGAAACTAATGAAAATATCATTTATTCTTTAGTTTTAAAAGTATTTTAGGACCAATGTGCCCTTATGAAGCTAAAAATTATATAAGAAACCAATGAAAATATCATTTATTCTTTAGTTTTTAAAGTATGTATCAAAATAGGACTTATTTTTTCAGTTAAAAAATTCATGGGGAAATTTTCAATTCATTTGAAAGGTTTATACATGTAACTTAAAAAATGGAATAGTAAAGTAAAAAACATTTTTGCATAACCACATAAATATAGCATAGCTTCCAATATTCTTAAAAAATTGAATAGCAATGCACATGAGAACTTAATATCTTCTAAGGGGAAAATTGTTATCTTAATATGTTACAGTATTTGCTAAAAGTTAAAGTACTATTTCACTTTGGAACATCTATAAGGGCATAACGATATTTTAATTGCAAACTTAATAGCCAACTACCCTTGACTAGATAGTGATGGCATAAAAATATACGAACTAACGAAAGGGTGGTAAAAGAGGAGTACAAACTTTCAATGGTGGAAGAGATAGTACAATTGCAATTATGGATGAAAACGGCTCGAAAACAAATGGAAACCACCTTTACCATTTTCGTTTTAATATTTTTTATTCAGAATAGGGAACCCTGGATAGAAAAACGGAATCAAATATTATCAAATACAAAAAGGAACGAATACGACTCGAAGCAAATACGGTAATGAATATTTATTAGAATGTAAAAAACCCTCCAACTAAGATTCCAAGTTTTGTCTAAAAAATAGATAAAAAATTCCAAATTTTAGCATTATCATAAGGATAACATCGTAGTTCACATATCACTATGTCAACTCCATTTTTTCATCTTTTGAGACAGTAAACATTCTTCGAAAAAAAGAAGTTCCAAATTCATTTAGGAGAAATTCTTCAGAAAGTTTTCGAACATTTCTACTTTTTGACGAATAATGCCATTTTGAGAAAAGAAAATCTGAATTTGTTTCCTTTCTTGAAAATTACCCAAAAGAAATTCCGACAGGTACGTGCTTTTCGTTTGTGAAAATAGGTCGGAAATCTAGAAACTTTCCAAATTGTTTTCAACCCTAGTTGCAATAGCAATGGGTGGCAAAAATGAAATCTTCCCGAACTACCCTAGTTGCAGGCATGACTTGTTAAGAGTTTAATCTAGTTTAGCGCAATTTCAAGAACCGTTCGTTCATATTTATTTTCACCAGCAACCCATTGGTGTTTTTATTTGTTTTTTCCCCCTGAGGGGAGTGTGTTTTTATCTGTTCTGATTTGGAATCAGTTAGATTCGAGGGATCGTGCAAAAAAAAAAGTGGCTTTGGCTTTATGAAAATAGTAATGTTATACTGCTTCTCTTAGCAACTTTGGCCACATGGTAAATTTTTGTTCATGTAAGAATATTGAATCTTGACCACATCCTTGCTCCAGCTGCCGACATCAACTTTGGTTAGCTTTTTTCTTTTAAAAAAACTTTATCTGTGTTATCCTGTTGGCAATCATTTTGTGAAATGGGAAAGATGTTTTCACTACTTACTGTACTAGTTTTTCTGCAGAACATATAGTTCAGTTGTCACCCCTTTATTATGGTTATTATCAATGAGTAACAAAAAAAAACAGGTTTAGGAATGAACTCCATTTTTTTTAACAAAACACTGGATTTATTCTTGGTGCAAATTCTTGTTTTGGCAATGAAATATGCTGGTATTTCAATAATCGAGTTTTTTTTCAAAAAGGGGATTTCAATAACTGAGTTATCTTGGTTATTCCTAGAGAAACGGAAATGTGCATGCTTCCTTTTAACGCAACTTTGTGTGTTTGCTTTCGTCTAGAAGCAAACATTTAGCTTTTTAGTGACAGAGCCAATATAGGTTTGAAAATTGAAAAGTATGCAAATTGGCAATGATATTTGTCCCTGCTAAATCCTTTAGTTTAGGATATAGGGTGAATCACATGTAGTGCATAGACAATAGCATTCTCGATACCCTAAAAGGAGAGACCATTTATATGTCATCTCTTGCGTTAGCTCAAGTGCTTTACATGCAACCACCTAATGCATGGCCTATCAGTTTTCAAACGACAGGAATGGAAAAGGTCTTCAAGTTCACAAATTCTTTAATTTAGAGCATGCATGGGTTAGAGCAGATACAATAGCAGGCTATAAGCTTACTATAAATATATTTTAAGAAGATAAAGGAAAAGAGAGAAGAGCAGCGGGCTACAGATCTGTAGCCAGCTGCAGCACGGACTCCAAAACGTAATGTGTGTATGACAGATGGGACCAGGTATTAATAGTATATATAGTAAGCAACTATTGTATAAATTGGCTATAGATAATTTAGAGCTAGTAACGGGCTATACTATTAAACTTGCTCTTAGCTGTGCTTTAGTACATGTTCATCTCTAAGAGCAAATACTAGACTGTTTGTCTTTTCTAATTGAATAGATCATATGTATTCATAATCCCATATCAACGGCTGGTAGCATAATTTTTTTCTACTAGTGGTAGAACTCATAAATCAATTGCTAAAATCACTTCTACTGATAATAATACTGGTAAATAACATTTAGTTAGAGTGAATGAAGATGAAGATTGTACGGGCATGTCAAACTATTAATACCGAATTTAGTGTCCATTCTTTTATTCGGGACTTCAGGTAGGGTAATTGATCTACATCTCTTCTTGTTTTATTCAGATAGACAACTTGTAAAATTACTGAAAGTATAAAGAGGGAATATTTTTTTTATCAAGTGCTTACGTTCAGAATCTTTCAAACAGTACTATGCTTTACGTACTTATCCTAGCATCTTTCAACAGCACATCTGTGTGGCTGTGATATCATCCAGTAAAGTGTTTTTTTTTCCATTTGAACTAATCTGAATTATGCACTTCATCAGTATTGTGGCCAGAGCTATTCTATTGTTTAGGTTGCAAAATATTACTAATGCTATATCACTTTGGTACTAATTATTTGACATGATCCCATTAGGCGTAAGTTAGTGGAACTTGTTTTTTTTTAGGTATGCTCCTGCAGGGCCTGCAGTAAGCAGCACAAAGCTTTATGCTTGTGTTGGTTGAATACTATACTAGTTGAGTGCAGCAAATCTTTTCTTCTTTTGTAGTTAATTTTATCACCACAATGGGGACATCACAAGGTGGGAAATTTTGTACGTTCATATTTTAGACATATATTGTTTTCTGCTATCATTATGCTTAGTGCAGCAGGCATGTACTAGTGATTTTGAATTGAAGGAAGCTCGTAGGGTTAAGATATGAATGAATGTCTTATTATTATATTTTTAGGAGGTTAATTAATTAACAAAGATTCTGTTCTTCTGCATAATTCACTATTCGGGAAAGCTTTGGTCTCTCATTAAATCGTACCTACCTTTAACTGTTGCTTTAGATGCTCTGTCACTTCTATTGGTGACTTGGTGTTGGATGCTGAGATAGTGTGGTTCTGTCCGTTTTACTGTCTGCATCATGTTACAGCATCTAATTAACAGAAACTCGTGTGTCGATATATGTTCCATAACCATCACCTCTTTAATTAAAAAACGTGGGTAGATATCGAGATTTGTTAGCAGATCTCGTTCTTTTCAGTATTGCCAGAGATTATGTGAACACATTTCCTATTTTACTACGGCTTTGTAAGTCTTTGTTCACATTATTTGCTGGGTCTAATCGTACTGACAGATACTCTGTACAACATGGTGGCAAGAAATTCAGAGTATTCTTCTTGCATTGAGACATCACTTTCATTTGGTGCCATGCAATGAACAAAAGAATGAACTCATCACCTACCTTTATAAGATGATCGGATTGCATAAACTTTCAGAATACTGTAGCCTTTTCCAAGGAAAAGGGAAACAAGTGCGATGAAAAAAATAATCAGAACTTCAAAAGTTTGGATATCCTAGTTTCTCACGTGTTTTGAACTGAACAAGACCAAGAATATATGACCAGCAAAATCTTCACTTGTTTCCCTGCTTTTCGCATGGCTGCTTGCACACATTTTGCATGGGCGTCTCTACTCCTCTCCCTGCATCTGGTATACGTATCTTCGATTCTCTCATGCTTTGAACCATATCTATTAAGTCAGAAACTAAAAATAATACATTGGGTTAATCCACTTGCTTTTGCTGCTCTGTGCAACTCCACTCGAATCCTTTTTTTTTCTTTGATTTGTTTTCCCCTTCTTTTCAGGAATGGACATCTACTCACTGTCACCACAGCTCACGAGAGGTGTCAGCCATTGTGGTTGTAGCTCTGCACACTGCTAGTGCTTAGTTCATGGATGCACCACCCTTCTCCTCTTTAAAAGGCAGGGTGTGATGCTCAGTGTCTAGTCCAAGAGCACTCAGGAGTTCTCTGAATTCTGATGGAAACCAACACTCCTCCAAAGTCTGGGACAAGCTTTCTCAAGACTTGCTTCAATGGTGTCAATGCCCTCTCAGGTTTTATTTCTTCCATCCTGCCTCTCGTGATCTTAATCAAGCTAAGACATCAAGTACTACCTGATGTTTTATGTTGTTAAGAAAGATGCCATATATTTTCTTTATTTAACATTATAACATACTAAGGTAATTTTACCATATTTGAAAATGAACCGGAAGATACCATATGTTCTAATATAAAACTTGTTACCTTTATATACTAGATACCAAATTTTATTTTTATCTTTTTACAAGTGCTGTCTCGAAAACCGTAAAATTCACCACGTACTAAAACTAACTTAAAATGTTGGGAAAGTGATTTCATCTGTCGAGGGGATATTCTCTTGTTTCGTACATGTCACCTAAATAGTCATAAAAAAATTTGACAAAATTAATATGAAATATATCACTCCACAAATATGCAAGTTAAAATTTAACTTCTAAAATGTTTGTTTCTGTTTTTTTCTTTTCTTCAGGTGTTGGGATACTATCCATGCCTTACGCATTGTCCCAGGGAGGATGGCTGAGCCTAGCAATCTTCATAACCATAGCAGCGATCTGCTTCTACACGGGGATCCTCCTGCAGCGATGCATCGACTCCAGCTCCCTCGTCAAGACCTACCCGGACATCGGCGAGCTGGCGTTCGGCCGGAAGGGCAGGATCGCCGTCGCCGCCTTCATGTATCTCGAGCTCTACCTCGTCGCCATCGACTTCCTCATCCTGGAGGGGGACAACCTGGAGAAGCTGTTCCCGAACGCGAGCTTCTTCTCCTCCTTCCACAGGATCGCCGGCGGGACGAGGCAAGGGTTCGTGCTGCTGTTCGCGCTGCTCGTGCTGCCCACGACGTGGTTCCGGAGCCTCGACCTCCTGGCGTACGTCTCCCTGGGCGGCGTCCTGGCGTCCGCCATCCTCGTCGCGTCCGTGCTCTGGGTCGGCGCCGCCGACGGCGTCGGGTTCCGCGAGGGCGGCGTGGCGGTGAGGTGGGGTGGCGTCCCGACCGCCATGAGCCTGTACGCGTTCTGCTTCAGTGGCCATGCGGTTTTCCCCATGATTTATACCGGCATGAGGAACAGGAGAATGTTTCCACATGTAAGTAAAGCAGAAGTTTGTTTCTTTTACAGTCTTATATAAAGGGTAATTTTACCATCTTTGAAAAAAATACCGACCACACTTTCTAGCGTAAAATTTAGTACATATAGATACTAAGTACGTCAAGGTATAAAAAAATTAATATAAAATTTAGGTACCCGAGGTATTTTTTATGGACCATAAAACTTTTGTATATAAAAGCACAGTAATCCTCTCCCCACCCTACACAGGAGGTCGTCCGCTCCTTCGTGTTTGCGTAACTAGTATAGGATTTAGTAATTTATCCTTAATTCATACACCTAGCTAAATCTCTAATTATATGGATGCGGCCTGTTGCAAATCACGGATATATTACTGGTAAATAATAGTAGAAGTGTTAGTTGTAAAGCACTACAACTATCTGCTGAAAACTAGTACTACTAATGATCTCAGGTCTCAGCCAGGCAAACTGTTTGGATAATTTTGCTTTACAGTCAGTAGTACAAAATGTTTAACCTTTTTGACTGGTAGTGTATGATAAAAAGTTATGTTGTTGCCCATGCAAATTTTAACCACGGTAACCTTGTCAAACTTTCCAATTGCATAAAGCATTGCTATATATGCTAATTCCGTCTCAATCGTGTGCTTTAATTGAGTTTATTAACAACTAATCAATAACTTTATTTTTTCTACCAACTTAACCAAATCCCAGGTGCTGCTCATCTGCTTCATCATCTGCACCCTCGCCTACGGCGTGATGGGCGTCATCGGCTACCTCATGTACGGCGGCTCGCTCCGGTCGCAGGTGACGCTCAACCTGCCGGCGAGGAAGCTGAGCTCCAGCATCGCCATCTACACGACGCTCATCAACCCCTTCACCAAGTTCGCCCTCCTCATCACCCCGATCGCCGAGGCCATCGAGGGCGTCCTCGGCCTCGGCACCGCCACCACCGGCGGCAAGCCGGCGCAGTACAGGGCCGCGGCCGTGAGCGTGTCGGTGAGGACGGCGCTGGTGGTGAGCACCACGGCGGTGGCGCTCGCCGTGCCCTTCTTCGCCTACGTGGTGGCGCTCACCGGCTCGTTCCTCAGCGCCACCGCGACGATGCTGCTGCCGTGCGCGTGCTACCTCCGGATCAGCTCCAGGGCCTCCGGGAAGCTGGGGGTGCTCGAGATCGTGGCTTGCGTGGGGATCATCGTGCTTGGGTTAGGAGTGATCGTGATAGGCACTTACAGCTCGCTGAAACAGATTGTGCAGAGCTTCTGATCATTTATGGGCAAAGGTAGTAGGAGATGAGCAATTGGGATCAGCTACTGAAAATTGACATATACTAGTCAATTCGATACCACTGATTAGGACAGGTGGTGTCAACCATGATGTTATGCATAAATCACTTGAGAAAGAAATCCATATGCCGTGTATTCAGGTAGGAAGATGATTCTACTAGTGGAGATTGATTTTTTTTTCCATCGAGGGTACATCCACCCATTTTGTGCATGGCGTTTAAAAATCATCAAAAAAAATTTAACAAAATTAGCAAGATAAATCAATATGTGATATGATATTTGATAAACATGCAAGTTCAAATTCGAGTGATACAAATTATAGAAAAAATAAATATGGCAATGAATTACATGTGCTATTTAGAATTTGTCTTTTTTTTACTTGTATAAGTTGAATTTGAAACTGTACGTTTGTAAAGTGGCATATCACATTCAAATATTATCTAGTATCTTATTAATTTTTTTACTTCATGATTTGTGCTCCGGTGATCCCAACTCTTCTCTTCCAACGTAGGTGACACATTCTCTAGCTCCAGCAACCCCAACGAAAGCAATGGAGTTAGAGTTTAGGGTCTCAAGTTGAGATGAGAGTTGGGAGAGGGGGGGGGGGAAGGGGGAAGAGGGGGCATATCATCGGGCTTAGAGGGATGGTCGTGGGAGGTGGTGGCCCAGCAATGGACGATGGACACGAGTGGGCGGCGAGGTACTGGCGGTTGCACCAAAGCCACGGGGATGGAGGAGGGCAGTAAGCTGGCATTGGTTGTGGGGACAAAGCAAGATTGTGGTTAGAAGGCGGTGGCTGGTGGTGCCGGATCTGGTGGTGGAGAGCCGCTAGAGATGGAGAAAACGACGGAACAGGGGCACTCGCTATCATTTAGGAAAGAGAAGGGTTGAGTAGGAGAGGAAGGAGAGGAGGTCATCTAGGGGGCCTTGTTGGTGCCGTTGACGCTTTCGACTAGCCGGCAAGGTCGGGCAGCAGTGGCGGAGGTGGCATGGATCGGGCGCTGGTGAGCAAAGGTGGCACGAAGGGTTTTTGGATGATGAGGGAGAAGGAAAGGGCACCCCTAATGGGCGGGTGTTCGCTCCCAGCGATCAACCCACCCCTCCCCCCTATACTCATCTCCCTTCTCTCCTTTCATCATAAATTTCAAAAAAAAAAGTTAGTAAAAAAATATAATACTCTCATTCATGTGCATAGACTTTATACTGTAAACTTTGCACGCATAAACTTTATGTATAGAAATATTCTATATATAAAATATTTGAATCCGAATTTTAATTTGAATCGGTATAAAAACTTTTGCTTATAAACATTCACTCTATAAACTTTAGGTGGATAAACATTAGATGTGTAAACTTTAGGTGTATAAACTTCCTAAAAGAGGAAAATAATGCACGCATAAACTTTGTGTATAGAAATATTCTATATATAAAATATTTAAATCTAAATTTAAATTTGAATCGGGTATATAAACTTTTAACCTATAAATTTAAGGTGTGTAAACTTTTGTTGTATAAACTTTAGGCACATAAACTTACCAAAAAGATAAACTATATGGAAAAAAAAAGAAGAAAGTAGCGCGATAGATCGCTAATTAGCGATCTCGAGAAGGAAAGGATTTTTGGGTTCATAAAACCTAGACAACGGTATCCCGTTGAACGGGTACATATTACCCAAACCTGTGATACCTGTTACTCGGTACCTGTGATACCTAGCACCTGATACCTGTAATACTCGTGTAAGAGAATAGTTAATATGTCTATCCCGTTGCAACGGGATCCTGTTTTGTAGCAACTCTCTTTGGGTTTTGTTGTCCAGCATGAATCTCAAAGTACTCGTACGGTCACATTCCTATCAGGTTAACAGCAAATGGTGCATAGACCGTTCTTTTTTTTTTCCTTTACAACTTTGACTTGAACGGTACATAGTGCGCCATCGATTCGGCGATCCCCTGCACGGACGCGACCGCTGAGGCGAGCGTCACCACGAAGCACACGGCGTTGAGGCTCTGCAGCGCCACCCACCTCTTGGACGACCTCTCCAGCTTCCGCCGCCGGATGTACATCTCCACGGGGAAGTACACGGTGAGCGGCCAGAACCCGACGGCGCCGAGGAGGCCGAGCACGTCGTTGAAGAACGGCACCACGGCGGCGACCGCGGTGCACGCCACGACGTACGCCGTGCGCCACGCGAGCCTGAACGCGTTCACGCTGATCAGCCTCGTTCCGCCGCCGCCGGTGACGAAGAAGCCGCACCGGGGCCACCGGGAGGACGCCCAGGACTCGACGGCGGTGAAGACGGGCTGGGACATCACCTGGTAGGCGCCGACGAGGTGCACGACGATGCAGGCGTTGGCGAGGCCGACGAGCCAGTAGGGGTCGTAGAAGCCGAAGCCCGTGAGCATGTTCCCCGGCGCCGCGTTCCCGAACGCCGCGTAGCCGAGGCAGCCGCAGAGCGTGTAGAACGCCGTGATCACCGGCATGGCCAGCGCGTTCGCCTTCCTCATCGTCTTGCTCTCCGCCGGCGGCGACCTGATCGTGTCCTGCACCGCTCGTAAACACACAACAAATTAATTTTGAGTAAATTTACTACAGAGCGTAAGTCACATTTCATTGCAAGAATTTCTTTAAGAGCTCCATGCAGTTAGGTATAGTAAAAGAATGATCTTCAATCTTTTCCTGAAAACTAAGTTATTCCAAACTAACCAAAACCCAACTTAATTTTGTACAGTTACCTGGATTTCAATGAGAACCAGGGAGTAGGAATATGCGAACGCGATGTTTCCGAGGGCTTGCAGTGCCTGCCATATCTTGTGCGACAAATCAACATCTATTCCGATTACAGTCCCAGACATAGTCGTCATACCAGTAGGACCTGCGAAAACACAAACATGTACAGTGTCAGAAGTATGAACCTGAATTAGGATCCGTTTAATAGAGCTTCACTCCTAAATTTAACTCCACAAATTAGATCTGGAGTGGAGTTGTGGAGCAGCCTAAACCCAGCTCCACATCTCTAGCTCATTTTGTGATAGCGTTACATTCCAGCCAACTCCACTTCCATTTTAGGTGGAGCTGAAAGTGTTTGGCTGGGCTCCAGCTCCAGGAGATGTGGAGCTGGCGCTGAAACCATGCCAAACAAGTCCTTAACCACCAGAAATTCTCATCAAGATCAGCAATAAAACCAAGGCAAAGATGTGTGTTCTTCTTAAGTTACCTGATATGGTTTGTGCCAAGGAGAGGCCGACGGCGATGGCCGAGTAGGAGAAGGACATGACGGCGGCGAGCACGGACAGCCACGCCACCTCGTGGAGGCTCTGCAGCTGGGAGAAGAAGACCTGGACAACGCCGAACACCACCATGTACGAGGTGGTGAAGACGCTGCAGTCGGCGGAGTGGCCGTTCTTGTGGAAGCAGTTGGACTTGTACACCGCCCTGCAGAATCCATCCACGCACGCAGTTTTGATCAGAAAATTCAGAAACACACACACACCAATGATATCGATGAATTAGAAACAGCATTTGAGCTAATTTGATGGCTTACGCGGCACTGATGGATGCTGTGATGGTGTACCCGATTGCAGTTCCAACCAGGTTAACGTACTGACAGAGACCACAGAACCACACTTGCCGACCACCTGCATATATACACATGAAAATATATACAGAATACAGTAAAAATAACTGAATGTACAGGTAATTCGATCGTTGAGTCGTTGGTTCATGCAGCAGCAGTAGTAGCAGAACGTACCTAGATAGGACTCGACGGCGTCCATGTATGTGTAGTTCCTCTTCCCGGAGACCTGATCGCCGCCGGCGCGGTAGCAGTCGGCGAGGAGCACGGAGGTGTAGTAGGTGATGACCGCGAACACGACGAGGGTGGCCGGGCCGGCGACCCAGCCGAGCTGCGCCGTGGACCATGCCAGCGACAGCACGCCGGAGCCGACCACCGCCGTGACGATGTGCGCGCTCGCCGTCCACTCCGTTCCTGCTCGTCAAATCACAAGAATCAGTAACATATATACACTACTACGGAAAACATATTTATCCGTATAACACAGGTGTTTTCCGACCTGCCTGCAGAAATCAAATATCTTTACAGTTGCATCAAGAAATTACCCTGTAAAAATAATTTTCATGGGCGGCACCCACCCATGGGCTGTAGCATTCTATTTACATGGTCAATTCGTAAACCCCCTATATACCCAGTAAACTTAGAGCATCACCAACAGATTATCTATAATTTTCTCCTAAAAATTTATTTTTGGTTTTCCTAAATTGAAAATAGGAAGTGAAAAAACTCCTCCCCCAACAGATAGCCTAAATTCAATCCCCGAAACTTAAAAGTGGGCCCTTCCGTTAAACTACAAAAAGAAAATTCCTTTTTTTTCTTTCACGCGCAGAAAGATCGCTATCTCCCACGCGCGGAAACGAAGGAGAGAGGCGGGATTGCGTGATTGGGAGCGACTTTCGCGCCCGCATATAAACAAAGGGAGGAACCGGGGGAAGGGAACTCCAAAACTTGGGTAGGAGAGTAAGAGATCTGTTGGAGCTGATTTTTGGACTAAAATCCCTCAAGATTAGTTTTGAGAATCATATAGGTAAACTGTTGGTGATGCTCTTAAAGTATAATTTTCTCATCTTAGGAAGGTATCGGAAAGTACCACATTTTCTAGTATAAAATTTAGTATGGTACCTCTAGATACTTTTTCAATGATCATAAAATTTCTCAGACTTAAAGCAGACATTTCGCATTTTAATCCGCCTATGAATTAAAGGTGGGAGCTGAGAAAATCATTTTTCTACTAGCGATAGAAAGAAAAAAATAAAATAACAAAGAGGTGACCAAGAAGGAGATTAAGGTACACCAAATCAGGACCTAATTTCCAAAGTAACTTAATTATATCATGCCGATCGCCCATGCATGTTGCATGATCAAAAGGGGCAAAAAAGCTTAGCAAAATCACATGTCGGAATTAACGTACATTGGTCGATCATGATCAGTTCGATCGCCTACCTGTTCGCTTGGGCTTCCCGTCGTCGTCAACGTCGTCGTCGTTGATGCTCCGCCGCAGCGGAGGAGGGTACGCCGCCGCCGCCGCCGACAGAGGTCGCCCCAGCTCCAAGTCGACCGACGCCATCCCTACCTTCTCGCCTTCAGCCAAGCCGATCGGCGGCGATCGATCGCTCCGTCGTCTACGCGCGCGTCCTCGCCTTTTTAAGCGAGTTGCTAGCTGTGTTATACTACTATGGACGACTGCATCATCTCACTTCTAACCTCAACCTACTCATATTTCGTATACCTACCTCGTCTTATATTCTACTCCGTAATAAATTACTTTGGTTTTGGCTAATAAATTGTTGTATACAATATTTATAGTCTTATATATTCTAATAAATTACTTGGTTTTGGGTAATAAATTGTTGTATATGTATAATATCTGGTAGCTAGAGTCCTATATATTCTTAATAAATAGCTTTTGGATTATTTGGCCAATAAATTGTTGTGTATAGTACCTTACAACTAGATAGAGTTACACCGATTTGATTTTGTCTTTTTAAGACAGGCTGCGTTCAAATTAGAGTGAGGATAATAGTGGGCTATAAGAGAATGAAGAATGATTAGTGTTGACTCGCATACAAGAGATAGATCTACACACACTTCAAGATATTTACATTAAATTTAGGGGCAATTCTCTTTTTTATTCTGTTTTGAAACCTAACTACCAGTTTGCCCCTACTTGTTGAAGTTTACTCAGTTGACCCTCATTTTCAAAACCGAAGATCAGGTCTGACCCTTTTTCGTGAGGTCAACATAACGGTGTTAACTTAGATAAAAAAATGACGTTTGTGCCCTTGCTTATTTGACCCTATATTCTTAAAGCTTTTGTTAGGGTGGATAAGCCAGGCGATCGAATTCCCACGCCCACACCGGTGACGACTTCCCACGCCCAGGCCGGTGAGCACCGCGCCGCCGCTCGTCATCGTCTTCCTCATTCGGATCAAAGAGGAGAAGCATCACTGCCCCACAGCCTTCTACCGCGTCACCGTCCTCCCTGTTCGGAGCGAGAAGAAGCAGCGCCGCTGCCTCCGTCCTCTCCTTGCTCGACACCGAAAGCCACCACCGCCACCCGCTGTCCTTCCCGTTCAGAATGAGGAGCAGCACCGCCACCACTGTCCTCTCCTTCCCCGACGCCGAACACCACCGCAGCCGATAGATCCAGTGTTGGCGCGCCTCGGCGCTGTCGGATCTATCGCCCAAGTCTCCTCGTCGTTGAACCATCTGCAGATCCGCCTCATTGCCGCTGCTGCCACCATCGCTCCCTCCGCTCGCCCTCCCGCATGCCGCCGCCACCACCGCTCCCCCCACTTGGGCTCCTCCGCTCCACTGCTCGCCCTCCAACCCGCCACCGTCGCATCATCCTCTAGCCAGGCTCAAGCGCACCGCCAGTCGCCCTCCTAGTCGTTGTCGTTGCCACCGCTCCCTCTGCTTGGGCTCCCACTTGCCGTCGCCACTCCCTCCGCCTAGACTCCCGTGTGCCAACGCGGCCTCCTTCCGCGCGTCGGCACCACCGCAGCCGCGGACCTCCCTCTGATTGCAGCAACTACCGTCGTGTGCCGCACCCATCGCCGTCACTTTCGCACGCAGCACCCTTCACCGCCAGCAAACTGGCGCTCTCTCCCTCCGTGCGCCGGTGCCGCCGCCGCTCCTTCCTTCCCTCCGCGCACTGCCGTAGATCCCCTTCTCCGCTGCCGCCGCTTGTGCGAGAGGACGAGAGAGAGAGGGCTAGTCGGGCCTAATGGATAGGGTTGAACCCTCTTCGAGGGTATTTTGGTCAGTTTGAGTAGTTTTTTCTTTTTTTCTAAATGAAACCCTAATGGTGTAGAGAAATAGGGTCAGACGGGGTGTTTGATTTTGAAAAGTAGAGTCAAATAAGCAAACTAGGAAAAACAGGGTCAGATTGGTAGTTAGACTTTAAAACAGGGTCAAATAAGCAATTATCCCTTAAATAACCAATCTTATAGTTAACATATTATATATATTACCTATAACATAGGCTAATACTAGTTAGGTCTACTATTAAAAATTTGTTCTTAGGACTGCTAGATGCATGGTCACGAATCATGAGCGTTCCCTAGCTTCCTTACGGTCGCCGGTGCGGATGTCGCACGGGTGTGCCAGTGTTCGACGCTTATGGTGACACGTGGGGGTAATCAATTTTTGAAAAAAATTGCAAGAATTGATTTATAATAAGCACTCTTTTCAATAAATTAGGTTAGGTAATGTGCAGTTACCTAAAGATACCTGCTCAACGTAGATGCAGGGAGTAGAAAGACTGATCCAAATTTATTGCTGCAGCTATACATTCAATGTAGAAGAATTTAAATTTTAGAATCGAAGGTTCATACTGCATGGGAGGAGGGCCCTCCAGCCTCCAAGTTGATGGCGAGATATATGGATCACCGACTATCAATGACGAATCTAGAACAAAAACACTACTACAGAAAGGACAAAAGGTGTCAGTTGGGAAACCCTAATATGTGCCGGTTTTCCCAACCGGCACAATAGAGACGGTACTGATGAATGCTACGGCACCAAACCCATTTTAAAAACCGGCACCTTTAGACCACTCGCGAGCCAAAAAAACCGGCACCTCAAATCGAGCCGATGCGTCGAGCTCATCCCCAATACCCAATCCCCGATCCCCAATCATTCACAGAAAAGAGCATCATAATAATATTTCACAGAAGTCATTCACAGAGAAGAACATCACAGAAATTATCCCAGAAATCATCATAGAACATGGAGGGCGCCACCACTGCCTCTTGTCCCGCCGCCAGGCTGCCAGATCTGACAGAGGGAAGGCGCCACCTCTTCTCGTCGCGCCGCTGCATTCCCCTCCCTTCCGCGGCCACATGCCGCCTCCCGCCACTGCCGCCGCTAGGCCGTCCCTCCCCGGATCTGGCGGAGGGAAGGGCGCCGCCGCCGCTGCCGCCTCCGCCGGCCAGCCGCGGGCAGCGAGAGAGTCGAGAGGGGAGGGCGCCGCCACCGCATCTAGTGGCGAATCTATGATGTAAATTGAGAGGATGCTCGTGTATAAATATGTCAATGTGACTAAAATAAAATAAGATATGTCAACTAAGTATTTTCGGATGAAACCCAAACGCATACGATCAAAACACAACACATTGCTTTCTCCATTTTAATTTGCAGCTATATTAATTTATACACACAAATCTATCAAGAAATTGGTATGGTATACTTATAACATATTTAACATTGGCAATTTAATTTGGGCATTGAGTGCTTGAGGTAGCTTTCCTTGCCATACTACTAGATTTAAACTAAATGCTAATTAGAATCATTAGTTGCTAATTAGAGGAAGGGGATCATGGAGCTGGGGCTTGCGCACTCACAAGCCCCAACAGTGGATCCGCCACTGACCGCATCCCCCTCCCCTCTGCCGCCTCCCGCTGCTACCGCTGCCGCCGCTAGGCCGCACCTCCGCTGCTGCCACTAGGCCGCCCCTCCCTGGAACTGGCGGAGGGGAGGGCGTGACCACCACCACACGCCGCTCCTCCAGCCGCCGCCGCCGCCGGCGGGAGAGAAGAAAGAGAAGAGAAGAGAAGAGAGGGGAGAGGTGAGAGAGAGCAGAGAGAATGAGAGAGAGAGACCGAGAGGAGACAAGCGGTCGACGCTGCGGACCTTATCTTCTCGAAGCGTCATGGTGGGGCCCACCGGCTCGGCTCAACTATAGGTGCCGTTTTTAATATTAAATATTCTGATTTTTAAAGAAAAACCAATACAAAATAGAATAGGTGTCGGTTTTTAATTTAGAATCGACACCTATAATTACTTAAAGGTGTTGGTTTTGTGCAATTTCAATCCGCAGAGGTGGGAAATATCTATAGGTATCGGTTTTAGCACTACCGGCACCTATGGTGGCGATACCTATTTGATGTTTCATAGTACTGAAATTATCGGGTGTCTCATATACATACATGTCACTTACGTACATATCAAACTAACTAATACAATAGTTAGACTCGTGTCATGTTCACTATGTAGCATTAACATAGCTTCGCCCCCTGCCAACCGCGATACGTCCTACTCTCTCCGTTGAGAGTGGTGGAGTATATGTTCAGAACTTCAGATTGTCTGTGTAGACGAAGAGTGAAATTGGGGGGTTCAACTATTGCTATTGACTTATAATAGCTGAGCTATTATAATAGCTGACCTATGGGTGAGTTCGGGAGAGCATATATAATAGCTGAGCTACTACCTGACTATCTGAGTTTCTGATTTTGTGCAAGCACGTTCTCCAAACGGTTAAACGGTACGTCATGTGCAAAAACTTTCTATATAATAAAGTTTAGAAATATACTTTTCAAATTTGTATAGCTAATATTTAATCAATTATGCACTAATTATATCTTGTTTTACATTCCACCGATTAGCTAAGGTGCCATTATCTTCCTAACTCACCTTTCATTGGACGCATTTTTGCAAATTTTGTTCAAAATCGATTCGGTATTTACTTTTAAATTTGAAGCATAGTTTCCAAGCGTTTTGAAATTTCAGTGATTTTGGTACTTTATCCCACAATATTTTTTTCCATTACAAAGCATTTCTTATACTTATACGTTATCAATTCGCAAAATCTAAATCGAGAAGCATCTCGTTTTAGTGCTAACCAGCGACGCCATCAAATGTTGTCCAAATATGTGTTAATCTATAATACTTGTCTATTGAGTAAGTATAAAATATGTTTCTACCACCTATGCTTCAAATAAAATTTTCTCTTAACTTACTCATCCGATCTACGATCCGATTATACCGTTGTATTCATTACATTAAATCTTTATAATAGGATCTCGCATAATTATATTTTGATGATAAAATATAAATTACTTTTAGATTATATCTAAATTACTTTTGGATTTCATTAAATTACATCATAGATATATAAAAGTAAATTCAATAAAGCTTAAAGTAATTTACATATATTATATAAGTAACTTAAAAAAAAGAAAATATATAACTTGTCATGACATCAGAAGTAAATCAGTTGTGGGGTGACTATGATATGTTGATTAAATCAAATTTCTAGATAGACTTATGCTTTTACTCCCATTATAGATTTACTTTTAATGCGGTAACAAGTTACTTAGTTTTGTTTTAAGTTACTTCTACAATATAAATTACTTTCAGCCTTTATTAAATTTACTTTTATAAGTAAGAAGTAATTTAATAAAATCTAAAAGTAAATTATAAAAATAATTTATAACTTTTATAAAAATATAGTTATATGAGATCTTGTTATAAAAATTTAATTATTGCGAACCCAATGGTGTAATCGGATCGTAAATCGGATAAGTAATTTAAGAGAAATTAAATTCTATAAGAAAAAAATGCATCCACTTTTAGATGTACTAATAGCAACTGGATATGAGATTGAAGTCGCTGATTATGACAATCCAGCTTACGGTCTCATCGTAGTCACGTCCTTATCAATTATGTAAGTGATCGTAATAAATTTCTAAAGCACTCGGTAAATTAGTTTAGCCCGTGGTCTTGAAGGGAGCAGCTTCGTTCAACCTCTGCACCATGTCGCGCACGGACGCGACGCCCATGCCGACGGCGACGACGAGCAGCGCCGCGCTCGCGCCCTGCAGCGCCCACCACCGCGCCTCCCCCCTCCGGATCTTGACCCTCGCGATGTGCATGCTCACCGGGAGGTAGACGGCGAGCGGCCAGAACCCGAGCGCGGCGATGAAGCCCAGCACGGCGTTGAAGAACGGCATCATCGCCGCCACCGCCGTCGTCGCCACGATCACCGCCGCCCGCAGCGCCATCCTCGCCGGCGACAGTGTCACGGCCGTCGGCGGCGCGGACGTCCACGCCGGCACGCGGAGGCGGAGCTCGTAGCTGGCCGTGACGAGCCTGGACTCCGGCCACCGCCCGCCGACGTACGCCTCCAGCCTCGCGAACACCGGCTGCGCGATGACCTGGTAGGCTCCGAGGAAGTGGACGACGACGCAGGCGTTCGCGACGTCGACGAGCCAGAAGGGCTCGTGGAAGGCGGCGCCGGTGAGGATGTTGCTGGGCGCGTCGTCGCCGAAGGCGGCGTAGCCGGATGCTCCGAGCACGAGGTAGAAGACGGCGCTCATGGCGAGGCCGTACAGCGACGCCCTCTTCATCGTCTTGCTCTCCGACGGAGGCGTTCTCACCGTGTCCTGCATGCATTGCCTTCTTTTTTCAAGAAAAAGATCGAGAAGAAAAAAAGATCGAATTCATCGGGAAACTATTTTGATCAACGAGGGGTCACTCGTATGGTTATGAAAAATTTTAGGAAGATGTATTAATATGTGGTATATCACTTTATAAATATATAAGTTCAAATTCAACTTTTATATCTAGTAAAAAAATAAATTAAACTACAACTAATTAACGTATATTCCCAGTCAAATTTATTTTTGTTGTTGCGAGATGTAAAAGTTGAATTTGAATACGTATGTTTGTGTAGTAATATATCACATGTTAATACATTTTTTTAATTTTTTATAAAAATTCATAATCATTTAACTAACATGGAAACAACGATCCACACGAGGATTAAAATCAACTCCCAAATTCGTCTAAACAAACCTGGATTTCGAAGAGCACGGGAGAATAGATGTAGGAGATAGCGATGTTCCCAACGGCGAGGAGGACATTGAAGACCTTCTCCCCCGGCGAGCCGGCGGCGGCGCCGGCGAGCGTGCCACGGACGCCGCCGCGGTGGGACGCCCACTTGGCGGCGCAGAGGCCGAGGCAGATGGAGGAGTACCCGAACGACGTCGCGACGGCGATGACGGAGAGCCACGCTACATTCTCGAGGCTGGGAAGCTGCGAGAGGAGCAGCTGGAACGCGCCGAACACCACCATGTACCTGACGCCGGTGGCGCCGCCGCCGCCGCCGCCACCGTCGCCGTCGCCGGCGGCCAACCAGTTGCGGTGGAAGCGGTTCACTCTTCGCACCGCACTGCACAGAAAAAAAAAACCAGCTCGCTAGCTGATCAGTATCAGTACACAGATCAGCTTCAGTATAGCTCTTTATATGTTTTAGCGTTTTTTCATTTGGTTTCAATTTTGTCTTTTTGAAAATATTTGTGATCTAAAGTTGTATACGCGCCATACCTCATGCTTGAACTTGATGTGATGGTGTAGCCAACCATCGCCGCCCAGAGAACGCCGTACTGGATGATGCCGCAGAATGTCACGCTTTTCGGACCTACATCACAAAATTGTTACTAGTATAAAATTATCGATAGTTTCTTTCCCCAAAACAGTCAAATTTAAAAGTTTCTCATTTAAAAAACTTGCGACAGTTTATAGAACTTAAAAAACTTGTGACAATTTATATTTACTAGACATTAGGCATAGTTTAGAAGATCTAATTAGTTTATGATATTTCTTTTTGAGTAAATTTCACAAAACTACAAGTATTTTGACCAAATTATCACAAAACTACAGATTTAAAGAGTTGTATCACAAAACTACATATTTAGCACCAAATTTATCACAAAACTACATATTTTAGATTAAGTATCATAAAAATGCATATTCAATATTGAACTTATCACAAAACTACAACTTTAGAGTTTAAATCCCTAGCACCATTGTTATGGAGGAGCTATAAACATCATTACTTTGTGATTAAATTGATTCTAAACCTATAGTTTTGTGATAATTTAGTTACTAAATATGTAGTTTTGTGACACTTCATCTTAAATGTGTAGTTTTGTGATAAATTTGGTGTTAAATGTGTAGTTTTGTGATACATCGAGTTAAATATGTAGTTTTGTGATAATTTGGTCATAGTATCTGTAGTTTTGTGAAATTTACTCTTTCTTTTTCAAAAATCTTTGCATATCTTAATTAATTTTAAAATTTTTAAGTATTGTGAAAGGGAGAGAGGTGGTCGAAGTTTTTAAATTTTGACCACACTTAGGGCCTGTTTGGTACGGCTCCAACTCCTAAATTTAGCTCCAGGAGTTGGGTCTGGAGTGGAGTTGTGGAGCTGTCTAAACCCAGCTCCACAACTCTAGTTCATTTAAACCCAGCTCCACAACTCTAGTTTATTTTGAGAGAGAGCTTCACCCAGCTCCACTCCTAGTTTTGGTGGAGCTGAAACTGTTTGGCTGAGCTCTAGCTCCAGGAGAGGTGGAGTTGGAGCTAGAGCTGTGCCAAACAGACCCTTATTCTACATTTTTTTTGGGACTGTCTATACATCTGTTGGCAGAAAATCCCACCTCCCATCTTTCAGATTTTGGGCCATTAGATGTGCTTTAAGATTCGTGCAGAGGCATTAACCCTAGCTCTCCTCCCGTTCCCCTCATGTCGCGCGATTTAGCCGCCACCCTCCGCCCGATCCCCCCGCCGCCACCGCCCCACCGCGCCGCCGCCCGCCTCGCCGGCTGGCCGGAGGGCATCAACGGCGCCGACGAGACCTTCCCCGGCCAGCCTCCTCCCCCTCCCCCTCCCCCTTCCCCTCCCCCTCTCCCCCCTCCTTCCTCCGTGAGTCGTCGTCGGCGATGCCCCCGCCACCAACACCGGCCCACCGCCCTTCTCCAGCCCCGTGGCTCTGGCGCCGGCGCCTCGCCGCCCACCCGATCCGCCGCCCACCGCCGGGCTACCGCCTCCCCTGGCCATCCCTCTAAGCCGGCGAACTCCTCCCTTTCCCCTCCCCCTCCCACCCCCACCCCACCCCGGGACCCTAACCCGTAGGGTGTCGCCGGCACCGGAGAAGAAGAGGAGGTCGCCGGAGTTGAAGGAAAAGGTCTGGAGCACGAATCTCGAAGCTCATTAAGTGGCCCAAAATCTGTAAGATTTGGGGCTACAATTTCTGTCGACAGGAGGTTAGCAAATCCGTTTTTTTAACGGGAGGTTTGACTGGCGGAGAGAGTAGTTGCTACCAAGGTAGGAGCGGACGGCGGCGATGTACTCGCCATGGACGGCGCCGCCGCCGAGGTGAAGAGGGTCGTCGTCGCGGTAGCAGTCGGCGAGGAGGGCCGAGGAGTAGTAGGTGACGACGGAGAGGGCGACGACGACGGCGGGGCCGGCGACCCACCCGAGCTGGGCGAAGGTCCACGCCACCGCCAGGACGCTGGACCCGATCAGGAGCGCGACGATGTGCGCCGTCGCCGTCCACACCGTGCCGCTCTTCTCCGGCCGCCTCCTCGTCTTCTCCCGCGCCGGTGACAACGACGACCTCCCGGCGAGCTGGTCCATTGCCGCCTCCGCGCCGGTGTCGACGTCGTCGTTGCCGTGCTTTTGCGAGCTCGTGTGAGCCATTGCCAACACTACACCGATCAGGCTTAGCTTAGCTTAGCAATGGCTATGGATCCCGGATGAGTCGGAGGCAGCTCAGCTTAACTTGAGGCCTGGAGCTAGCTGGCTAGCTAGCATGCATGTATGCTGCACGCAAGGAGAACTCGATGGAGCAGGAGCACACGCCATTCTATCGCCGAGATATTTGTGTGGTGCGGCACTTCTTGCACCTGCCATTATTTACGCACGGTGAAGAACAGATTCATGTATATATGATGTGGTTCATGTAACCGGCCGGCCTAATTAGGTTCCGTTTGCGAGAGCTAGCTTTTCCCCCAGAATCTTCAGCTTTCTCGGATAGTTCAGATTCTCACCTAGAATTTATGAGGCTGTGTTCTTACCCTCAGGTTTCGCAACTCATCTCTCTTGTTTTCCGCGCGTACGTTTTTCAAACTGTTAAACGGTGCGTATTTTACAAAAAGTTTTTATATGAAAGTTACTTTAAAAAATTAGCTAATACCCCCTCTATTTCAAAATATAAGGTACAACTACTCTTAACCCAAAGATCAAGAAATAATTATTATTATCTCTTAGTTTGGATGACCCTAATAAATAGTATAATGCATTCATCCAATAGAATTAGAGATCTTGAGGATGGGGGATTTTAAAAATAATAATTTAATAGAGAAGAGGTCATAGTTAATTGTATTATGGAACATCTAAGAAAAGTAGTTGTGAACGAATAGAGTACTTAATAATCACGCGCTAATAGACTATTATGTTTTCCGTATGCACTGTTCTGGATGAGCACACGCTGGAGCGAACATAGCCTAAGAAGTTATAGCTATATAATCCCAAAAATTAGACTAAAAGACGAGAATGGGAGACCTAGCTTTTTTTTTTTAATTCAAGCTCGGTACTCAGTTGTTTATCATAATCTCAAGTTAAATTCCCCAAACAGAACCTAAGCCATACCACACATGGACAGTACTTGAGTGAGGACAGATTCAGCTTTTTTTTCCTCATAAATATAGCTTAAATTACACGAAGATTAATATGCTACTGAAAATACTCCTTTCAGATACAAATTGATACTTTGTTTCGTCATAATTTTAAAAGTTTGAAATATATTAATATCTTGTTAAATATTTATTTAGATTGGATATTTAAAAAAATAGTATAGATTTATTTCAAAAAAGTACTTTCACAAAATATTTAAGGCAACTTATTTTGTAACACATTTAGCTCCACAGCAGTGCGTGAATATCACCTAGTTTATGAAATACCGATTTAATAACACCAATACATATGCCACAAATTTACAGATCTAGATTCATTATACCTGATTGCAGTATGATTTGCCTCCCTTCTGTCGAATGAATTCATTAGTATTTTTAAGAGACTATGCTATTAACTCTTTTATACAGTTTGAAATTATGATTTGGATGTTTGAAACTTGAGAGTGGAATGCGACCCTTTAACCAAGTCGGACCTCGTCAGATTCAGGCTAAACACAACACGAACCGAACCCACATACACAACGGCTAAGTCCCCCCTGGTGTGTGATGCGGACAAGGCCTCCTCCCGTCCCAGCCGCCGCGCACCGCCGCGCCACGGCCACCGCCGCGGGCGCGGCCCCGGCCCCGGCCCCGGCCGCCGCCGACGACCTCGTCATGCGGCACAACCGCTCCCTCGCGGCGCTCCTCCGCGCCGGCCGCTACGGCGCCGCGCGGCGCCTCTTCGACGCCCTCCCGGCCCGCTCCGTCGTGACGTGGAACTCGCTCCTGGCGGGGCTCGCCCGCCGCCCCGACGCCCGCGCGGCGCGGGAGTTCTTCGACGCCATGCCCGTCCGCGACGCCGTCTCGTGGAACACGCTGCTCGCCGCCTACTCCGCCTCCCCGCACCCGGACCACCTCGCGGCCGCGCGGCGGCTGTTCGACGAAATGCCCCAGCGGGACGTCGTCACGTGGAACACGCTGCTGGGCGCCTACGCGCGCCGGGGGCTCATGGACGAGGCGCGGAGGCTGTTCGACGAGATGCCCCAGAGGAACGCCGCTTCCTGGAACACGATGGTCACCGGGTTCTTTGCTGCTGGCCAGGTGGTGAAGGCCCTTGACGTGTTCGATGCAATGCCTGCCAAGGATTCTGCATCTCTGAGCACGATGGTGTCTGGGTTTACCAAGAATGGTATGCTGCATGAGGCCGAGGAGTTGTTAACAAAGCGTTTGAGTGTGACAGACATGGACAAAGCTGTTGACGCTTACAATACACTAATTGTTGCATATGGACAAGCTGGGAGGTTTAGTGATGCCAAAAGATTATTTGATATGATACCCAAAGGACAATACCAGCATAATATGCTCAAAAGGAAAGGTTTTGAGAGGAATGTTGTTTCATGGAACTCGATGATGATATGCTATATCAAGGCTGGTGATGTTTGCTCAGCTAGGGCATTGTTTAATGAGATGCCAGATAAAGACTTGGTTTCATGGAATACTATGATTTCTGGGTATACTCAAGCGTCAGATATGAAAGAATCAGAGAAACTGTTCTGGGAAATGCCAGATCCAGATACAGTATCATGGAATTTAATTATACAAGGATTCATGCAAAAAGGAGAGGCTGAGCATGCCAGGGGATTTTTTGATAGGATGCCAGAGCGTGGAACCATCTCATGGAATACAATGATATCCGGTTATGAGAAAAATGGGAATTACATCAGTTCTGTTAAGTTGTTTTCAAAGATGCTTGAAGTTGGTGAGATTCCTGATCGGCATACCTTCTCTTCTGTTCTAGCAGCATGTGCCTCTATCCCTATGTTAGGCCTCGGAGCTCAGATCCACCAACTTGTTGAAAAATCATTTGTGCCAGATACTGCAATCAGCAATGCACTTATAACGATGTACTCTAGATGTGGGGCACTAAATGATGCGGAGGCCATCTTCAAGCAGATGCATACAAAAAAGGATTTAGTGTCTTGGAATGCACTAATAGGATGTTATGAACACCATGGTCGTGCTACAAAAGCCTTGCAACTGTTCAAAGAGATGAGGAGAGCCAAGGTTATGCCTACTCACATAACCTTTGTTTCTCTCTTGAGTGCGTGCGTCAATGCTGGTCTTGTCTCTGAAGGACGGATGGTGTTCGATACCATGGTTCATGAGTATGGCATTGTTGCTAGAATTGAGCACTATGCTGCACTCGTCAATCTCATAGGACGTCATGGGCAACTTGATGACGCGTTGGAGGTGATCAATAGCATGCCAATGGCTCCAGATCGATCAGTTTGGGGTGCATTTCTTGGAGCTTGTACGGCTAAGAAGAATGAACCACTAGCTCAAATGGCTGCAAAGGAACTATCGACGATTAATCCCGACAGTTCTGCTCCATACGTACTTATTCATAACCTACATGCCCATGAAGGGAAGTGGGGAAGTGCAGCGGTGGTAAGGGAAGAGATGGAACGGCAAGGCATTTACAAGCAGCCAGGATACAGCTGGATTGATTTGGAAGGCAAGATGCATGTCTTCATCTCAGGGGATACTTGGCATCCCAATGCCCAGGAGATTTTTTCTGTCCTGGAAGGTGTTGACAGGACATGTAGAGATTGGAGTTAGACGGTACGGCAAATTTTTTGTTTCTATATATAACAGAAAAAAAGTTTTGTTGTGTTAGACTGTAGAAGCAAATGTACAGCTTTTCTTCCTTCAATTCTTCTTGTACTGTACAGATATCTCATTTCATGTATTGTTTGTATTTTCCTGAGTTCAACAAACGATTTGTCTTCAATCTAATTGCAATAATGAATTTATACAGTGATATATTAAATTTACTTACATAACTGTTCAAATTTTGATAAATTCATTCTTAGACAGCAAAATCATACTAAATGTGAATGATTTATTTTCCACAGTGCGGTCGTTTGCCTAGCTTTCTGCAGATTGGCAATGGCACAACCCAATGAGCTTGGAGATGAACCAGCTAACTCAAGTAAAGCTTATTGCTAAAAGAAACAATCAAGTAAGCTTGTGTTTTACATGTTTGGCACATGTTTGTTACTTTGTTTTCGATACTACTATCTCTTTTTTTGCAGTTAATTGCTGCTTTGTTCACGAAACATAATTGACAAATGCTTGCTCTCCCGTAGGAGAATTGTCCTGGATCCGTCCCTATGAAATTTTTCCCAGTTCTCACTAGTTACAGTTATGGTTACAACAGGCCAGTGGTGCACGTTTATATATGAGCCATATATATATATATTTTTAAGATAATGGATAAGCAGGCCACTGCAACTAAGATGCACAAAGCCACAAATATTAGACATATATACAGCAAATTTAAAGTAGATGAACAGCAAAACACAAGGTTCATGTCCTAAACAAGCCATAATATTAAAATATCAGTTCAGCTAAAGAATATCAGTAGTACTAATCTTAGTGGGAAAACTAATCTAGCCGGAAGATTTTACTCCCCAATGCACAAACCCCAAAGACATGCTCTGCAATTACCAAAACTAATTACTAGTGGGCAGCCAATACCATAATTGCTTTGGTAACCCCCGATCCATTAGCCACTCTTTGCATTAACTCTTTTGCATGGTTTTAATTACTAACCGTTTCCATGCGTCATGCGCCCAATGATATCAGGATTTGTGAGCCGGCTTTCCTTTCATGAGTTCATCCACTCAGTATATATTCTCTGGCTGCTCACCACTCAAATCTCTCTCGAAAGAATGGAGCCCAGCCAAGAACATAGGTAAGCTCAGTTTTGTCTTGCATCATGCATATGGTTAACCATGCTCCTCTCTGAGAAAATTTTGTAGCAGTAGCATTTTTTGGCTGCAAGACAGTGTGTTTATCTGTTATTGATCTAGCCTTTTTTTTTCATGAACTAGCTGGTGGCCTTATTGTACTAGCCTTTGGCCTGATAGTTACCTGCTTGAGGAGGAAGCGCTCTTCTCCAGTCTTTCCTTCCCGAGCTTTCATCCCCAGCCAGTCTACTCTACTGTCATGCAAAGCAACGTTTTACAAGGTATGCCTTTTTTTCTTTCTTCTTGGATTACTGAAAGAATGGTCATCTCTTTTTTAACCGAAGAAGAATGGTAATTTCTGTGTATTTGTGGTGCTTAGACCCTTGTTTCTTGCCATGCAGACGAGCTTGGTGTCATCTTTGAAGATGATGTGCTGAAGTATTGGGATGAGATGGAGCAATCGGAGAACAAGGTAGAGAAAAGTGAGAAGGGATTGCCACTGCTCTATTACGGTGATGAGAACGGAGCAGCCTCCAAGATCATGAGAGACGATGTTAGATCAGAGGAGAAGGCATTGACGTTCGAGCTCGTGTCCCAGTACTTCTACATGCCGATCACGCAGGCGGCACGAGAGCTGAATGTTGGGCTCACCCTCCTGAAGAAGAAGTGCAGAGAGCTGGGCATTCCAAGGTGGCCACACCGCAAGATGAAAAGCTTGCAGACACTCATCAACAATGTACAGGTCCTCTCTTTCTTCCCAACTTTCGTTTTTGTAATTCTATGTCAGATAAAACTTTATACTCTGTTTTATTAATACATTTGTGAGATAAATGGCGATGCAGGTCCTTCAGGAAGCCAGCAAGGCGAACAATGAGGAGCAGCTGAGGATGCTGGTAGAGATGCTGCAGGAGGAGAGGAGGCTCCTGGAGCAGAAGCCGTATGTTCAGCTCGAGGAGAAGACGAAGAGGCTCAGGCAGGCCTGCTTCAAGGCCAACTACAAGAAGAGGCGCCTCTTGGCTCTTGAAGCTGGGGAGCCGTGAAGAAAGTATTTATGCCCAGCAACATATACATAATATAATATAATATAATGCAAATCCTCTTTGCAATGCTAAATGTCATATTGTCATGTCTCTATGATGGGAATCTGGCGTGTTCCATGTGTCTGCTATAGTTCAGTACAGTCAGATTATCTTATACTCCTACTTGCAGTATACTAGTACGTATTAGTAATCCAAATGGTACTGGGAGGGTATATTTCCTAATGTCTGCCTGTCCGGAGATTGCTGTGAATTTCTGAGACGCATATATGCAGCTGTTTTATTTTATCAGAAGTCAGAACTAGTATCAAATGTCGACAAAAACAAGTGAAATTATGCTGAAATCCAGTTTTCATTAGAAAAGAAAAACATTTAGGGCCTGTTCACATTATTGCAAAAATGAACATTTCCAAATTTTGGCAAGTGAGCAACATTGTTAAAATTTAGTAAGATAGGCTAAATGTGATGTTGTCAAAATTCTGTATGCATTACTAATATTTGAGAACAAACTAAATGCATTCATATGTTTGTCAATCAACTGCCTTACATTTGTTACTACAGTACATTACATTGCTCTATGTAAATATCTCTACACACTACACTTCTGTGTACTACCACTACTGCTGCTCAAGCAGTGGCCAGCTGCTGTGTCCTCGCCGCCGTTTCCCGCCGCTCCTTGCCGATGTCGACGTGCTCCGACAAGATCGCCCTGAACTCGTCGCCGCCGAGCGTCTCCTTCTCCATGAGCACGTCCACCAGCTGGTCGATGGCGGCGCGGTTCCTCCTCACGTGCGCCTTGGCCACCTCGTACGCCTCGTCGACGATGGTCCTCACCGCGGCGTCGATGTCGGCGGCGAGCCTCTCCGACATGGAGCTCCGGGCCAGCATCCGCAGCACCACGTCGCCGCCCTGCGCCGCCGGCTCCGCCAGCGCCCACGGCCCGATCTCCGACATCCCGAACGCCGTCACCATCCGCCGCGCCACCCGCGTCACCTGCTGCAGGTCCCCCGCCGCGCCGGTCGTCACCTCCGGCTCGCCGAAGACGACCTCCTCGGCGGCGCGGCCGCCCAGCCCGCCCACGATCCCCGCGAAGATCTGCTGCCTCGACACCAGCGCCGGGTCCTCCTCGCCGGGGAGGAACCACGTCAGCCCGCGCGCCTGCCCCCGCGGGATCAGCGTCACCTTCTGCACCTCGTCGTGCCCCGCCGTCAAAGTCCTGCATTAAAAAAAAAAAAGGGCCCCGATAGCACATCGAGAACGTTGTAGGAGATTCTGATATACCGAGACACGATATTTAATAACGGATTTTAACCATAATATTTATCTCTAGGCGACTCTTTATGGATTCCCCTCCCCGATCTATCATAATCAGAGGGTATCAGAGTTGTACGAACTCTTGACTAGACGCCATCAATAACCGTTCCCTTTGGACAACCCTAATGGGCGATCGATCGCCCTGCCCCCCCCTCCTCTCTCCCCTTCCACCTGGTTTTCTTTTTTGGCACCTTATTACTTTTCTATTTTAGTAAATTTATACACCTAAAATTTATACACCTCAAGTTTACACATCTAAAGTTTAGAGACCAAAAGTTTATAAGTCAAAAGTTTATATATCCGATTCAAATTTGAATTTGAATTCAAATATTTTCTATATATAGTATTTCTATACATCTAAAGTTTATACACCTAAAGTTTATAGACCCAAAGTTTATAAGTCAAAAGTTTACATACCCGATTCAAATTTAAATTTGAATTCAAATTTTTTATACATAGTATTTCTATACATAAATTTTTCTAACTTTATTGCGTTTTATAATTTTTTTTGGTTTACTATAGTACGAAGAGAAGGGAGGAGAATAGTATAGAGAAGGAAGCGGGCGGGTGAGCGCTCGGCGGACGGGGGGAGCCATCACCCGCCGATTAGTATTTCCGGCTCCGTCTTGCCTATGCTTAAAGGTCATGTGGTGAATCCGACTATTACTGTTTCTTTTTTTAATAATGGTAATGTGTTACATTACTTTATTTCTAACACCTAGTCACCTACTATAATTTTATAACTTTTAGTTATAAACTGTAAAGATTTATTAAATATATTCGATTCAAACTAACATTCTCGATGTGAGAAGGGAAGGAAACACAAGGTGATGAGAGGAGGAAGAATGAGAGGTGGGTGTACTTACGCGCACACGGCGTGGCCGATCTCATGGTAGGCGACGAGCATCTTGCTCTTGCCGTCGGTCATGCTGGTGCCCTCGAGGCCGGCGACGATGCGGTCGATGGAGTCGTCGATCTCGCTGACGGTGATGCGGTCCTTGCCGCGGCGGCCGGCGAGGATGGCGGCCTCGTTCATGAGGTTGGCGAGGTCGGCGCCGCTGAACCCCGGCGTGCGCATGGCGACCACGGCGAGCGACACGCCGGGGTCGAGCCGCTTGTTGGCGCCGTGCACGAGGAGGATCTCCTCCCGTCCGCGCACGTCGGGGAGGCCGACGGACACCCGCCGGTCGAAGCGCCCCGGCCGGAGCAGCGCCGCGTCGAGGATCTCCGGCCGGTTGGTGGCGGCGATCACGACGACGCCGCCGTCGCCGCCGCCGAACCCGTCCATCTCGGTGAGCAGCTGGTTCAGCGTCTGCTCCCTCTCGTCGTTCCCGCCGCCGATCCCCGCGCCGCGCTGCCGCCCCACGGCGTCGATCTCGTCGATGAAGACGAGGCACGGCGCGCTCGCCTTGGCCCTGTCGAACAGGTCGCGCACCCGCGACGCGCCGACGCCGACGAACATCTCGATGAACTCGGAGCCGGACAGCGAGAAGAAGGGCACGCCGGCCTCGCCGGCGATCGCCTTGGCCAGCAGCGTCTTCCCCGTCCCCGGCGGGCCGACCAGCAGCACGCCCTTGGGGGTCCTCGCACCGACCGCCGTGAACTTCTCCGGGAACTTCAAGAACTGGACGATCTCCTGGAAGTCCTGCTTGGCCTCGTCCACGCCGGCGACGTCGTCGAACGTGACGCCGGTTTTGGGCTCCATCTGGAACTTGGCCTTGGACTTGCCGAGCCCGAACGGGAGGCTAGGCCCGCCGCCGGGGTTGTTCATGGTCGGCGACCGCCACAGGAGCGAGGCGACGAAGAGGAGAGGGAAGCCGAAGTTGACGAGGAGGTCGAGCAGCATCACCCCGGCGCTGGGCTCCACCGGGTGCGCCGCGAAGTCGACGCCCTTGTCCCGGAGCTTCCGGACGAGCTCGGCGGGGAGGCCCGGGAGCTGCACCTTGACGCGGTGCACCCTCGACAGCGCCGCCGCGTCGTCCACCTCGGCGACGGCCACCGTGCCGTTCTCGAAGAAGTCCACCTTCTTGACGGCGCCGGCGTCGAGGTACTCCAGGAACCGGGAGTAGGACATCCTGTTCGACGTCACCTCCTCCGGCGCCGTCGCCTCGGCTCGCGCCGGCCTCGCCGCCGTTAGGCCGAGGCCGAGCCCGAGGCCGGCCGATTGCAGCAGCCTCCTCCTGCTTAGTCCGGCGGCCTCCGACGACGACGACGAAGGCGGCGTGATCTTGGCAGGTGGCGGCGTCGTCCGCTTCTCCTTGGCGACGCCGCCGCCCTGCGCCCTGCAGATCGGCAGCCGGCTCGTCGTCGTCGTCAGCGACATCGCCGTCGGCGACATGCCTGAACCAATCACAATCGAGCAACAGTAAGATGTAGAAGTATCAATTCGTTCCAGTTCGCTTGCTGCTTCTAGCTCTCGGATTTTGGAGGGAACCGTACGGCGATTCCGGGTTTTAAATAGCTTTCAGGTACGGATTTTTCACGGTGCTTACAGTACAGAAGTGGATTTTTCACGGTGCAACGTGGCAAGTTCTTGCTTGATCATGGCCTGAATTAATTTGTTTTTTCACTTGCATTCATCGTTCGTG